CAGATGGAATTAATTATTTTAGCTTTTAAGCTTTTGAGGACTCTACCCAAAGTCCTATGTATTGTGAAGTCGCCCCATTCCCACTGATGAAAGTGTCAACTACCCCTACCCCTGCTTATACTCCAGGAATTTTTTGCCTAATGTTGACTGGTGTTTGTTTTTTTTTGTTTGTTTGTTTTTTTCCCAACCTACACATGTGTAGAGTTTGTAACCAGACTCATACACCTCCTTGTAATTCTTTGGAGCTCACTGTTGAATTCCCCCACCCCTCTCTGGTACACTGGCCTACTCATTGTCTCTTCAACCCAGTAAGACTGCCAGGCTCTCTGGCTATCTCCCCCTGTCCTGTCACTTGACAACTGCCTCTCAGGGGCCACCATCCTGCACTGACTGTTGTACAATGTCTGAAACAGTTGTTTCAAATACTTTGATATTCTAGCTGTTTATGGAAGGAAGACAATTCCCTTAGTAGGTACTTAATCATGGGCAGAAGAAGAAGTAGCGATCACTATTTTTCAATGAAAAATTTTATATTTTTTGGTAAAAGCACAAGGCTCAAAATTAAATTCTGATCAAAAGTAAGCCTTGGACAATAGTTCTTTTGACCCACTATGCCTAGACAGAAGTCAAGATTTACTTCAAGAGAACGTTTATCTTTGCCAGACATGGGAAATTCAGATAAATTTTTCTACTTGAATGAAATACCAAAGTGAGAAGTTGAATTTAAAGGTTTATTACATTTGAGTCCATCTTTTTGCTTCCAAGAGTATGAAGTTGCTGAGATAGCAAGCAGCTTACTTTAAGTCTTTGTGAGCTTATGTGAAATTCAGGCTAGGAAAATTAACATCATTCAATACTCAGTCACACAAAAATGACATTGCATCCTGTACTTGCTAAAACTGGGATAAAATATTTCTTACCAGAAGGGATCAGCTCCTTAGTTTTCTACAGGTGGCTTTCTTTTTAGATGTGTTCTACTGGAACTCATTCTTCTTTTGCTACCTCCCAGAAGAATAAGTTCCCTCTTGATAATGCTAAAATACGTACATGATGTTCTAAGGGGGTTATCTGCAGGAAAACAATGTAGTAGCAGCTCCACTGGTGCTTGGCATTCTAACTGAAAAAATGGGGCTCAATAAATACATTCTTTTGGAACCTTGCCTCTGAGTGTTTTTACTCATTCTGGCTTCAAATTGGGGACTGACACATTCTGGGACTAAAAGATGTTCTAAAGTTTCCTGGAAGAAATGAAGACTGCATTAAAAACAGTTAACCAAAGATTTTAGGATCACCTAGACAGAAATGTTGCATTTGTCTTGAAAGAATCAGAGGCTGTCTGACTAAGCAGCATAACAATAAATATCTAACATAAACTCTAGGTCTTGTTTATGGCACAGAGAAACAGGGAGAATATGGAACTGCTTCCTCTCAGCTGGATGAATTACTGGCAGCTGCTATAAGAAAGATAAAGAAACCCACATCTGTTTAGAGTCCAAATGTAATATGGATCCCTTGTGATAGTAAATAAATTCTTGAAGAGGCCCTACTTCTAAATCAGGAAAAGGATTAAGAATATCTGAAAACTGTTTTCTATAGTTTCACAGAAACCAACTGTAGTTGTATACACCATTCTTTAATATAGTGAGTGTTCAGTAAATATTTGCTGACTGATGAAGAGACTGCATAAGGATTTGGAAAGACAGATTCTGATGAGATAGTACAAACTTCACCTATACACTAACAGCTCCCAGTTTTGATTATAAATGGACCAGCGGGATAGTTTTTCTAAGCTAGCTTACCTAAAATTGAGTCCATATTGATTTTTGCCCACCAGTGCATTTATTCTATAAAGGAGATGAACTGTTACATGAAGTGCTTTTTGAATTCATGTAATTGAGATGGATGATCTCTAAGGTTACATATCACAGAAGCAGTGATTGGAGGAGTAAAAATAGCACAGTAGCCAAGTGGCAAATCTGGGTTCTGTTTTCAACTTTGTAATCTACTATGCAATCCTTTTGCAGGCAATACAATTTCATTATTTTTAAAATAGTGGGTGTAGTAATACCTTACCTAGTCTTAGGATAGTGTAAATGATTAATGATCTAATAAAACACCAGATTGTTTAAGAAAAAAGTTCCAGGAGCTAAATATGCTTCGATTTCAATGAAAGTATAGAGTAAACCTATTTACTTCCCATAAACCCAAGAACTGGCACCCAAGAACCGGTAAATCTACCAGAAATACTTGTGAATGAATGAGGTGAAAGTTAAGGCCTTCTCCTTTGTTATGATCACTATAGAAACTATCTTAACGATATTCAATACTTAATCTACCCGAAGGACACAAAAACATTTATTCAAAAAGATACCTGTACCCTTATGTTTGTTGCAGCACTATTTACAATAGGTAAGATATGGAAACAACCCAAATGCCAAGAAATAGATGACTGGCTCAAGAAGATGTGCTATATATACACTGGAATACTATTCAGCAATAAAAAAAAGATAAAGTCATGCCATTCACAGCAACATGGATGAAGCTAGAAGGGATCATGCTCTGTGAAATAAGGTAGAAGGAGAAGAAAAATATTGAATGGTTTCACTTACAGGAGGAATATAGGGGAACCAAATAAGGAAAAAAATAACAATAACAACAACAACAGCAACAACAAAACTAGCAGGCAACCATAAATACGAGACATTCTGTGAAGGAGGGGAAGGAAAAGGGATCAGAACAGGGAAGAGAAGAGCACAAGGGACTATGGTGATGGTTCACAGGTGAACTGGTGGTGGGAATTTTACAGGGAATACACAATGATGTAAAAGAAATAAATTTAAAAAATTATTAAAAAAAAAGATCTTCACCACTTAATTGGAAAAATCCAAAGTATGAAGGTAGAATAGAACAGACCCTTGAAAACGAATGTGAACAAAGGTTGTAGAGATTCTAAATCTGAAAAATTTGGAACAACTGAATCTAATTTAATATTCTTTAGGTAAGATACTAGTGCCATTTTTTAAAAGGAGCTTCCAACAGGAGTCTTTTGCATTTCAACTTACCAAGATTAAATCTCAATAAAGAGAAAAACCATTCGTAGACCACCTGCTTCTAGATCAGGGTTTAGTATATAGCAGAGCAGCTCCTTCACTGCAAACTACTGGAAGTCAGTCTTCAACACAAGGTTTTGTAAAGGGTGAAAAACATAATAAAAAAAGTCTTAAGAAAGACATTTCAATCAATGGTTTTCTTATTATTTTCCTTGGAATATAGTCATAAGGTGCCAAACCAAGAGTATGTAAAATATAAAAATGACCTGGGCCTTCCTGGTGGTACAAGGTATTGAGACGCAGCACTATGAAGCTATCCACAGCCACTGCAGCACGAGTTTGATTCCTGGCCCAGGAGGTGACCCACATGGCGCAACAGACCTCTCCTGTCTCGCCCACTGCAGCCTTCAGCAGTGTATTTCAGTCAATCCACCTGTTCTGCTCTCTGCTCTGTCTCTGGTGAATCCTCTCACCCCCCACACCTCTGGCCTGTACCCCAGTTCTTGTATGCATAAATAAATAAATCTTTTTAAAAAAAGGAATTTCAACTTTTCAAAACCAACATATCACATTATCCAAATTAGCCAAAGGTGGAAGAAACCCCAGTGTCTATAGATAGACGAGTGGATAAGCAAAATGTATACACTTACAATGGAATATTAGTCAGCCTTACAAAGGAAGGAAAATTCGACACATATCACAAATCTATGGTAAGTAAGTCATTCACAAAAGGATAAAGATTACATGAATCCACTAGCATGAGGTAACCAATGTGGTCTAATAATACACAGAGACAAAAGTAGAATGGTAGTGGGGAGGAAGAGGAAGTGGGGAGCTTATACAAAGTTTCAGTTTGGGAAGATGATGGATGGTAGAGATGGATGGTAGTGATATTTCAGAACAAGTTGAGTGTACTTAACGCTACAGAACTACATGTACACTTACCTGGAAATGTACCACTGGTTTCTTACTCACCTTACATGCTAAACCCAATCCAAATCCTGTGGATTCTAACTCTAAAAATGCCTCTTTAATCACCATGGACACTGCCTTAATTTTTGACTTGTGTTATTTCTCACCTCAACTGCAAATCTCCTATGTTTCTTTCCCTTCAGTCTCATTCTCTCAGTCATTTCCACTTACTTTAGAAGGCTCTTTCTAGAACTCAGGTATCAACACTACTCTCCTATTTAAAATCCTTAAGTAATACCTACAGAATGAAATTTCTTTTTTTATGGCAAAAAACGGTCTTTTAAGACCTGATTCTTTCTTTTATTCTTTTATAAGATCATCTACCCTAGCCTCTTTCATAAACTTCAGCCATTCTGATCTTCCCAGTTTCTTAAATATTTTAGGTTCTTTCATGCTTCCATGCCATAGTGCATGCCCTAACTAGAATGTTCTTCTCTAATTTATCCATATGGATAAGTCCTTATCAACTTAGATCAAACAGTTCTCTAGTTCGCTCCTCCAGTTCTCATAGTACCCTCATATCATTCTGCACTCAGGAATAACCTTCTTTGTATTCACATCATTCCTTGAATTTACTGCATGGTTTTTTGATATTTGCCAAGAGCCAGGGCTCTGGAGCCAGATTCCCTGGCTATGAATCTGCCCCTAGCATTTACTGTGTAATTGCCAAGTTACTTACTTAACCCCTCTGCGCCTGAATTTCAATAATTATAAAATGGGGATTATAATATCTACCACAGGGGTGTGTGAAGATTAGATGATTTACTATGTAGAGTGCTCAGCACTAAGCCTGGCTCTTAACAAGTGTCATTAATGATGGTAGTGGTGATAGTAACAGTGGTGTTATTATTTCCGACACAGTGCCTCAAGGTAAATTGTTCCAAGAGTCTTGAATAGCATATATTTAATTTCTATCAGAAAAAAAAAAGACTTTGGGAGGAAGAAAGGAAGGCAAGAAAGCAATTTGGGAAGACTTACCACCATTTTTGCCCACAGTTCGGAAGCATCTCCAGAAGGCTCGTAAGAATGATGCCCTATTGTGAGGGGTGGCTTGGATGAAGCTGAATTCCCGGAAGAGAATATGAGTTCCCTGACATACGCTGTTAAAACTGCAAAAAGAAAAATCAAGAAATCTCATTAGGTGGATATTTCCAGATGTCTGGAATCAGAGTGACAAGTCAAGATCAGACAGAATCACTGTCAAATGAGAGAAAACCTCCAAATTTTCCCCCCAAAACCTCTGAACTATAGGTTAGACCAAGTCCTGTGAGGAAGTCTCTTCACATCACCACACCCCTCTGAAAGCTCTTGGAGTCTAATGTCTCTGAGCACTCTTCCCTTCACAATGGACACTGAGGATGTCTTCACTGGAGCATCGCAGGCAGAGGGAAATCTTTGTCTTTTTTTTTGTTTGTTTGTTTTTGTTTTTATAGAAGCATGTTTATTTATTTATTTGTTTGTTTGTTTTTTTGTTTGTTTGTTTTGTTTACACATGCACTGGGTACAGTCAGAAGCACGGGAGGGAGAGAGAATTCACCAGAGCCAGAGCGGAGAGCAGAGCAGGCAGAAGGACCGAAGTACACTGCTGAGGGGAGCAGCGGGCGGCAGGAGAGGTCTGCGCACCATGTGGGATCCTCCTCCGGTGGCCGAGGAGCAGCCGGGGATAGAACCGGCGACGCAGAGGCCACGGGCAGCTTCGCAACCCAGCACTCAACCACTGCGCCACCGGGGAGGCCCATCTTTCAGTCTTTACTGGATGCTACTGGCACTCATATCTTTTTGGAGAATGTTTCTCTCCCAGATAGCATTTAGAGTTGTGTTCCCTTAAAGATAGTCTTTCTGTATTCTTGACCCATGCTGGTTGCCGTAAGAATGACATGGCTTATGGGGGTTCGAAACAAATTCAATGGTTCCAATTTGGAGTGGTGTTGTATGCCTCTCTTGACAATAACCTCAGAAGCAAATCCATGTGCCAAAAGATATAAACAGTTCCAAGTAGAACACCAATAGCAATCAGAGCAAGGGTAGAAAGTGGTCCCTGAATGAGCGTATGAAGCAAAGCCCTAGAGCTCAAGCGCGTCATTGTTTAAGCTGGGCTGAGGAAGGGGAGAGGTACTGCTGCCAAAGAAAGAGAGGCTGTCCAGGCCGGTGGGACGAAAGAATGGAAATTCCACCAAAGACTAGGCAATTATCCAATAATCATCATTACCAAAGGCAGACTTCACATTCCAGAAAACTCCCAAGTTACCTGACAAGTAAATCATGAGTGGAAAATGTGTTAATCTTTGTGGAAAAGTAGACATTAAGCTGAATGTGGCAAGCAATATAGGGACAGTGGTAATTCTAAATGCCAGTTTTCATTTGTTGATCTTTTAATGGGGTAAAAATCTGAATCTCTAAACTGAACATGAAAAAATTTCAGAAGCCATATTCCATTTTCCTTTTATCTTCCTGACCAAATTCTAAAGGAAGTACCTGAACTGTCTTTAACAGAGTATGTTATTACTTAGGATAAAAATTAAGTGTCTCTTGTTAGCATTAACAGTGCTGGATGAAAAGCAAATTACATATTCTTTCCTCACGGAAAACAAGTGTAGAAATGTACTTTTACAACACCAAGAGGAAGTATGAGGGCAATATCTGACAATTAGGTTAGAGATTTTTTTAAAAAGCAATGAAAGTGTTAACTCAGTTTGTGGCAGTTCTGTTGTTTTGAGCAAAGGAAAATGAAAAATAAAGCAAATGAACTGTTATGGGTAAATAGAGTAGATCACATTTCTAGCAAATGAAGTCTAAAATGATAACATTCTAGCCTAAATTTATGAAGCTATCCAGGAAAGAACTAGTCCCAAAGTGTATTTCCTACCCCTTAAAAAAAAAAAAAAACTGGTGTCTAGGTCAGGATACAGGCTATAAAAGAATTAATTCTGTGAAATGATGCCTTAGTGTAACTTTTAAAATATACATCTTTCAAACCGGAAATAATATATGCATTGAAGAATCCAGCTGAGCTTCTTTGTACAGATAAGAATTTATATGCAAATTTATAAAATATGAATTTTTTAAATTAAATTAAATTTAATTTATTTTTACATCATTTTTCATTTTTGCACAATGTAAGCATTTTCATCTTTTTCATCATTTAGTTAAATTCACATTTAACTAAAATCAGAATCATTTTCATCATTTTCATCCCCACACACTTCCCACCCGCCTCTCCCTTGTTTTGATCCTATTGCCTTCTCCCTCCCCCCACCCAGTGTGTCTCTGGTTTATAGTTGTTGGTTTTGATTTTTACTTTATTATAATTAGCCTTTTTCCTGGTCCCTTATTTTGGTTTTCTAAATTCCTGCTATGAATAAGACCATCCGGTATTTTTCTTTTTTTTTTCTGGATTATTTCACTGGAAGATCCCTTCCAGCTCCATCCATGTTGCTGCAAATTGCAAGAGTTTATCTTTTTTGAGTGCTGAGTAATATTTCATTATGTATATGTACCACATCTTCTTGATCCAGTCACCTATTTTTGGGCATTTGGGTTGTTTCCATAGCTTAGCTATTGTAAATAGTGCTGCTATAAACATAGGGGTGCAGGTGCTCTTTGGAATTAATGTTTCTGTGTCCTTTGGGTAAATACCTAGGAGTGGAATTGCTGGATCATATGGAAGCTCTATGTTTAGTAGGTCCAGAAATCTCCACACAGCTCTCCATAGTGGTTGAACCAGTTTGCACTCCCACCAGCAGTGCAGAAGAGTTTCTTTTTCTCCACATCCTCACCAACATTTGTTGTTGCTAGTTTTTTTAATATGTGCCATTCTCACTGGTGTAAGATGGTATCTCATTGTAGTAAAATATGAATTTTATAAAATAAACTGATAAGTCAAGGGCATAAAATGTTGAATATAAAAGGATGGATGAATGTATTTACTGTACTATCTTTAGATAATACATACCAAATAAAATTCACATTTAACTAAAATCAGAATTATTAGAAGTATTTGACTAGAGTGGCAGCTGGTCATACAGAAGATCATATTCACTTTACCTAAAAAGTTAATCAATATTGTTAAAATAATCAGAGAAAATTCTTTAGGTAAAATGGCTATAAAATAACAGCAGAAAATGCAATACTGCTCAAAGCTTAACTGTTTCTCTTCAATCTGAAATACTTTTTCCTACTTGCACTTGTTAAAATTCTCTCCAATCTTTCAGCGCCATTTCAAATGCCATTTTTTTTTTTTAAGATTTATTTATTCATTCATACAAGCACTGGGTACAGTCAGAAGCGCGGGAGGGTGAGAGAATTCACCAGAGCCAGAGCAGGGAGCAGAGCAGGCAGAAGGACGGAAGTACACTGCTGAGGGGAGCAGTAGGCGGCATGAGAGGTCTGTGTGCCATGCGGGACCCTCCTCCGTTGGCCTGGGAGCAGCCGGGGATCGAACCGGCGCCGCAGAGGCTTCGGGCAGCTTTGCAACCCAGCGCTCAACCGCTGTGCCACCAGGGAGGCCCTCAAATGCCATGTTTTACATGAAAGTTTTTCCTGATTCCACCTTCCATGCCCATTTCCCCTCACCTCTCTCTTTATGATTCCCTATGGTGGTACCAACTAGATACCTTATTTTATAGTTACTACACTCCTTTTCCCTGCTAAATAGTAAGTTCTGTGGAGTAAGCAATTAAGGTACATTCATCTTTGTCTCTATTACATTGCCTAACACATAGTAGATACTACTCCATAAATATTTGGAGGAGTTGATTTAGAAAGAAAAAAATAATAATATCACTTAAAGATATCAGGACTGGGCTCCCTGGTGGCACAAGGGGGTAAGTCGCAGTACTATGAGGCTGTATGCAGCCACTGCAGTTTGATCCCAGGCCAGGGAGGTGACCCACATGGCACAGCAGACCTCTCCTGTCTCACCTGCTGCTCCCCTCAGCAGTGTATTTCAGCCAATCTGCCTGTTCTGCTTCCCACTCTATCTCTGGTGAATCCTCTCACCCTGCCCCCCCACCTCTGACCTGCACACCAGCTCTTGTATAAATAAATAAATCTTAAAAAAAAATCTTAGTTTGGATATTTAATAGCAAAAAGTCGTTATTGATTTAAATTACTTTGATGAAATAGTCAGTAACTCTAGGATTACCAAGGAAAGAATTAAATATAAATGCCACCACAGTAGTTTTATATACATACATAATCCTTCAGATTTCACATACAGTAGTAATAAAGAACAAAAATAAACAGATTAAAATATTCCAGGTCATTCTCAGTGTGCCATTAGGCAAAAGTTCAAAGCTCCAAACATTCCATGTCTTCCAGGTACACCATGCTCTTATTCAAACTGAAAATGGCTTTGACCTACACACCTAAGTGTGACAGTACAGTCTTCCTAGGCTATTCTCTTATCTCCTTTTTCTTTCTAAAACCAGATTAGTTCATTAGAATAGACTATTTTCGATTCAGGGATTGTCTTCTGCTGTTTCGAGATAAGCTTTATTTGCAAGGAATCCTAAACAGATCAACCAAGGAAGCAAAATACAACAACAGATCATACCCAATCTGTTGTACAGTCTGGCCACACCAAGGTGATAGAAAACAGTACATGGACCAGCCTCTGAAAGGTAACTAAGGTCAAAGACCCAAATTATCCTAAAAAGAAGTGTAACTTAAGGCCTCCCCTGGTGGCACAGCAGTTGAGCGCTGGGCTGCAAAGCTGCCAGCAGCCTCTGCAGCGCTGGTTTGATCCTCAGCCACCAGCGAGGGTCCCACATGGTGCGCAGACCTCCCCTGCCAGTGCTCCCCTCAGCAGTGTATTGTCAGTCTGCCTCTTTTTTTTTTTTTTTAAGATTTATTTATTTATTCATACAAGCACTGGGTACAGTCAGAAGCGCGGGAGGGTGAGAGAATTCACCAGAGCCAAAGCCGGGAACAGAACAGGTAGAGTGATGAAATACACTGCTGAGGGGAGCAGCAGGCGTGGTAGGAGAGGTATGTCACGCCATGTGGGACCCTCGCCTGTGGCCAGGGATAGAACAGGCACTGCAGAGGCTGCGGGCAGCTTTGCAGCTCAGCGCTCAACCGCTGCGCCACCAGGGGAGGCCCAGTCTGC